CTCCCGTGCAGTGTTGAATCGAGGGTGATCACAGGCATCTTTGTCTTACTGCCAAACCCGGAGGGAAAGTTTTCAACATTTTACTATTAAGTCTGAAACATTTCATTTAAACATAGTGAGTGTAGTGGTTTTATAATTCATGCTTTCATATTCAATATCTGAAGTTTTTATGTTTCTATTTCTGGTGCTTCTGCTGGTTCTCGTGCAAAGTACCCTTTTCCCTCGATTGCTTGTTTATTTTTTGACTGCGAGCTGCTCCATGCGGATCATAGCTTGGGGGCTTTTCAGAGACCAGGGATGCTCAGCCAGGGAGCCTGGGCATGTGCTTTGGGGCAGACTCCAAGGGTGATCTCATCCACTTTATATTCAAGACTGAGCGTTTTTAACCACTAGCTGCTATAAACCTTTTTAAGCCCCAGCTTATGGTGACAACTCAGCTCAGTTCCGTTGGGACAGCTCTCCTCACAGCTTCCTGGGGAAGTGGGCAGAGTGGGCTTCTTATTCACTCTCTCTGGGGACCGCACCCTTACTGGGAAGAGGGTTGGACTGCCCACTTGGCATGCTCAGGGCCTTGACCTCTGTCCTCAGACTCCGTAAGGTCGGCAAGACCAAAGCACAGCTTTAGGTGGCTCGGCAAATGCCCTCAGGGCAAAGGTGGCTCCAGGACCCACTGCCCTCTCTGGGTTCCTCCATTCACCGAATTCTAACCTGGTAGTTCCATAGTATCTGGTCAGATGCTTAATGATCTGAGGCAAGGTATCAGCTGGAAATGGGAGCCTTTGGTCCCAATGCGCCAGCCCACCATATTGCTGGAAGTTCTTATGCTCTTTAATAGAAGGAATCAATCTTCGATGTGTTTTACGCCTAGTAAGACTTTAGGTGTTATATTTGTTTTTAGTTTTTGCTTTCTTCCGTGGTAATAAATATATTCGTTTTGTCTTCCAGTTATTCTTACTAGATTGTAGAGGTTCTGGTTCTGACCGCCAAGTGGTGGGTACAAACAGCGATGGGCCTCTGTCGCTACAGGCCTCTGACGCTGCGGCAGGAAGCAGCATGGGAGAAAGGCCCCTTTCCTCCTTATTCGGGGGGTTAGTATGATCCTCCAGTGCCCAAGCCTGGCCACTGGCTGTTTATTACCCAGAGCTTCATGAGAAATTAGAGTCCTGCATCCAAATGACCCCACACAACCTCCAAGGTAGGCGAGCTACAGAAACTGTATCCTAGTTCAGCTTGGTCTTTATTACTGAGATCCAGAAGTCGTGGCCCCAGAGATATGCCTGGGAGTGAGATAGGCTTCTTTCCCTCAAAGTCAAGGACAACATGATTATAACAGCTGAATTTAGATATCTGCTTCATTAAGCCACTGATATCGTAGCTTTTTAGATGAGAACATAGTAATTAAAAAGCACAGCTGTATTGAATAATAACTGTAATATAGGTCTTTGAAAAGTATAACTTCCTGCATAGTTTATAGTGTACAATCTGGGTCTTCAGAATATGCGACTTTATGCTTCTTGTATACTTCGTATTTTTCTTCAGGTCTGTATTAGTCAAAATACTCAGAGGAATCAAAAATGTAAATGCTTTCAAAGGCTGAGCAGACTACAGAGCTGAGGAGAAGGGTTATAACAGAGTTTACCTGTCCCAGAGATAATCGAACACTCCCCCCGCCCGTAATAAACTGTGTCCCCTGTGTGAATGTAGTCTGAGGACATCAGTCTAGGCACCTGGATTCGATGGACTGGGATTGTCTATAGGTCACAGATAATTTTTTATTTAATTTCATTTTCCAACAATAGTATAGAATGATTTGTTTTCATTTACTCAATGAGTATTCCTTCAGTAAAGCTGTATGCCACAGAAATAAGATGAGAAAGACAGAAATCTCTGCTTCAAAGACGTCAGTCTAGTAGGGAGACAGGCCGATAATGGGACGGTTACGTGGCGATGTGATACATTTTGTATTGGAGCACCGTGCTGCACTAGTAGATGACACCAGGAAACTTGTCTCTTTGCACAGACCATGGGATTGCTGGGGGCTGGAATATAGTAGGCTCTCAATGTATATCTGTTGACTGAGTGAATTGTGTAGTGATTCCAAAATAATGTGACTGATCATCAGATTCAGTGGGGTAACGCGGTATACGTCCCAGTTACTGGGCCAGCTCCAGGCCTGCGGAATGGGAATTGCCAGGAAGGCAGCCTGGTGACCTGCATTAGATGGAGCTTCCACGACTATGACAGTGGGACTTATTGGCCAGCGGAGGCCGTCCCTTGCTCCGTTGCATGGTGGCCACTGCTGAGAGGGCTGGCTGGGGCTGTAGGAGGAGCAGGTTCTTGTGGGAGGGAGAATTGGTGGGCTGAACTTGTATAAATGCCCTTGCCAAACTGAGGCGGTCTGGATGGTCTGCCGCAACAAGGTCCACAGGCCCGATTAGCTACATTCAGGAGTGAGACCTGCCTGGGGTGGCTCTCTCATGACCCTGGCCGTGGGGCATTGACAGGTAAGCAGAGTCTCCCGGCCGACCTGTCCTCCAGTTGCCCGTGCAATGGTACAGGCCCCAGCACTTTTCAGCACGTTGGTACTCTAAGGGTTAGACTCTTGCTTCTGCAAGGCTCTAACCAGCGACAGTCTCTTATTTTTTGCCTCTGTGTTCTAGGGATAGCACTTGCCAATGGTTGCTGAATAAATGAATGAGTTGAATCTGTTTGCAATTTAATTTTAAACGATGTAACCATTCCATTTGCCCTTCTTATTGTTATAGAAGCAAGCAAATTGAAAAACTAGAAGTGGATCCCAGCAAGCATTCCTTCCCCGATGTGGCTAACATCGTTCAAGGAGAGACACGCACGCCCAGAAGGGTCCGATCGGAACCCAAAATTATACCAAGTGAGGAAGATCTGGACTTTGAAGATAACCCTGACGTGCCTCCGCTGATCTGAAGCATCAGGCTGCATTAACTGGGACCCAGCGGACCCCGTTTTGCTCAGTGCAGAGTATGTGTGCATGTGACTTCCGGGGTAAACACAGAGTTATTTATCTATATCAGTATTCCAATGTTTTAGCTTCTGCTTTCTACGGTAATATTCTTAAACTAGTTTAAAATTAAAGGGCATACTTTAAATATGCTATAATTCATCATTCGTCCAGAACGAAGTGTTGGCTAGTGAATATGTTCAGTAAATCGTAGCACTAACCTAATGCAGTTAAACAACCAGAAAACGATACCATTAAGGACTGAATGTTTGTGTCCCCGACCCCAATTCATGTGTCGGAGCCCAACCCCCAGTGTGATGGTATTTGGAGGTGGGGACTTTGGGAGGTAATTAGATTTTAGGTGAGGTCACAAGGACAGGGTCCCCATGATGAGATGAGTGTCCTTAGAAGAAGAAGAAAAGGAACCATAGCTCTCTCGCTTGCTCGCTTTCTCCCTCTCTGTCCTTCTCTCTCCCCTGCTGATGTGCGAGCAGCAAGAAGGCAGCCACCTGCAGGCCAGGAAGAGCGCGCTCGCTAGGAGCCGAATCAGCCAGCACCTTGAACTTAGCCTTCCAGCCTCCAGAACCGAGAGAAACAAATTTCCGTTGCGTTAAGCCCCCAGGTCCGTGATATCTCATTATGGCAGCTTGAGCAGACGGAGACACCGTCCGCCCCTCAGAACCGATACACAGAGTCCACGGAGTCCTGTAGTCACCTTGCCCGTCCTTGGGTGATGGTGGTTCCTCTCCCCGGGGAGTCACACCTAAATGCCGTAGGATCTGCCTAAACCTCCGTCCAGGTGCTGGGAAGGTTCACCCACCTGAGGAAAGGGCAGAGGCAGGGGGCGGGGGGCAGCATATGCTGCATCTCGATCCTGGCTGCGAGGATCATTCCCCCGTGACCCTGGAATCCGCTGCTCTGGCCGCTTCTTCCAGATGCTCCCCGTGTCCTTCTCCTCGCTCTGCCTGTGCTGTGCGCACTTCGCGCAGGCTCAGGGCTCCCGCCCCTACGTCAGCTCCACCGGGGGCGGGAGAGGCCTCCTGGTCCCTGGGCGAAAGGAAACCTCACGGGCCGTGAGGTCATCTCTGTCGCCAGTGCCCACTCTCCAGTCTAGGCGTTTTTTTCTCTTGCTTATCAGGCTTTTCTTGAACAGCGTGATGGCCCTTCCTGTCCCCGTCCCCAGCCCAGCCAGCCGTTCATGTCTCCGCATCCTGCTCCCGGCTACCGCGAGGAGCCTTACAGCAGGACCGTGGCGTGAGTGGCTTGTGAATGCCAACAGGAGACCGCTGGCTGTGACCCTTAGGGGACACATGCGTGTGGCCCAAGCCCCCGGGCCCGCGTGGAAGCGCCCTCCTTCCACCTTCCGCTGATGGTGGGGCCGCGCCACGCAGGCTGTGCAGGCCGTG